GCAGAAGGCAGGACACTGGTTGTGGCGTAACCCTGCAAAGACATCTCAGCCAGCAGGGCAGGGATACTCTCCTTGAAGACACAGCAGAGCAGCCCATCTTGGCCGTCATCTTCAGATGATGACCCTCAGCTTCCCTCCATAACCCAGGGAATACACCTCAGTGAGAGCTGAGGCCAGGGTAACCCGCACACATCTCCAGCTTTGGGGCAACTGTTTAGTGCTTAATGTCAATGCTGTAGCTTTCCTAGAAACCATTGAATCTCTCCTAGATTTTGCTCTGTTTTGTTTGGCTTTTTTTTTTTTTTTCAACAGATGAAGCATCAACATTTATGTGGGTGCCCTATCATGCTTTTCATAAATAGGAGGTGATATCATACCACAAGGTCCCCACCCTGTTTGCCTGATGATTTGTTTCAAAAGGCATTTGCTTTGTAAACATCTGGTCCGCCTGGTTTCCCTTGGTCAACATGGCTTTTCCAGCCAGGCTTCACCCGAAAACCATTTCCACTATTCCGTTGCAAGAACCAGACTTCTGTTGCAGAGCTAGAACTGGACGCAGCACTTACCCACTCCTCCAGATCAGATGCTGCTGCACAGGACTCCTGCTGGCCATGGAGAGTCCTAAAGATGTCTTGGGCCATCCCCAGGTCAAACACAGCTTCCTGAGCTCCAGCATCCTCCTTTCCCACTCTGCTCAGTACTGGTGAGGCCACACATGCAGTGCTGGGTCCAGCTCTAGGTTCCCCAGCACAAGGGAGAGATGCACAACTGGAGCCAGTCCAATGTAAGGCCACAAAGGTGATGAATGGCCTGAAGCATCCTTCATAAGAGGAGAGGCTGAGCAAGCTGGGGCTGTTCAGCCCTGAGAGGAAGAGTCTCGAGGGGACCTCATAGATATGTATAAATATATCATGGGAGGGAATAAAGACAGGGGAGCCGGGCTCTTCTTAGAGTTGCCCAGTGACAGGACAAGAGGTAACGAGAGCAAACTAAAACACATACAGTTCACCCACAGGGGCTGCCTCTTTCCACCTCTGCTGAGAATAGCCCATGGCACCTGGCACCTCACAGTTGGGATGCCCACTTTTGTTTCTGCTTCCAGATACCTGCAAACAGACCAGCAAGTTCTCCCAGTAGCATATGACCTGGTGTCTTTTTTTGGTGAATAGAACATGGACAGCCATCAGGAATTGTTTGGAAGATCCTGGATCCTTCAAAGCCCTGACAGATCTGGTCTAATGTGAAAGCCACTGTAATATATACAGGTCTTTCAGTGCCAAAGCACTGCTGCCGCTGCAGGCTTCAGAGGTTTTGAAGACAAAGTCATGGGTTGTGAGGGATCGCTCTAATCTCTCAGAGGTCTCTGGCAAAGAAACAAAACCAACCAAAAAGAAATGGCAAAGCCTGTTCCCCAGGTGAGTGGAGATGTATTTGGTTGTTCAAAGGCTTCTGATAAGGTGACCAAGATTAAAGAACAAATAAGCATACGGTTAGGGCCAAAGTCCCAATGCAAGCCAGACAGCATACAAAGCCAGAAGCAAAGAGGAACTTCTTACCTAAACCTGAAAACTGTTCTTCAGCCTTCATGCTCCAGGTGAGCTCTGCTTGGTCCCTTCTGGGACAAGGTCCCCATGCTTGTGGAATCCCAGTAGCCACAGAATGTCAGCACTGGTCCTGCTGTCTTCACTTTGCTCCTCACTTCCCAGCCAGACACATTTGCTCCCATTGGCCTTGAGCATCCTTTGAAAGGGAGCTGCTATTGATGGGCATGTCACTGCAGAGCGCACTGACTTCCATGTCTCAGGAGAGCTGCTGAAGTTATTAGAAATTAATTCAATGTACATGCCTCACTGGCTCCAAAGTGTCACATCAACTACATATCAGTTCAGGTAGGCACTAATGGACCGGTGGCTGCCCAGCAGCGGAAGGGGAGGCCCAGTGTGTGATAAATTTCAAAATGACTTGGAAAGCAAACTCTGGCCTTGCTGATAATGTGGTGCACTGGATTTCCTGGGGAAAGCAATCTAGAAATTATTGTGGGTCATGTTATGAATAGGTCTGCCTGGAAACTGGTCTGAAAAGCAAACAGCAAAGCTGCACAAAGAGTTTTCTGGGAGTGGGCAGGAAAGCTTGCCCCTCTCTGAATTTTCTCTCCATAAGGGGTTTTGTGGGAACAATTGCAGACCCAGGAAATCAGGATGTCCCAGACCCTGATTTCCCCAATCTGTCACTGTGTCCAGGGCTGGCCCACTGTTGGGAACTTGTACACAAACCTCTCGTCTTTCCATCCTCCTTTGAGATCCAGCAAGCTCCAGGCTGCCAGGGTACAAATAACATGGCCATGTATAGGCAGAAAATGAAGAAGATAGCTGCTTGCTTAAGCAAAGTTTGAACTCACAAAATAAATAAATAAATAGATAGATAGATAAACGGTAAAGAATAAAAGAGGGTGGAAAAGGCAAGACAAAGTGATGTGAGCAGGGGCAGCCCTACCAGCCTCGGCAGTGTGCAGGACTTGGCTGTGCTCTTCTCTTTTGCTGTGGTCAGAACAATGGACTGTGGCATTGCTCAAAGGTATGGGTTTATGCACCAGCTCAGGTCATACCTTTGTGCCTGCAAAAGGCATATCTCCAGCCTCAACCATAACTCATCCCAGTGGGGTAGGAGGATGCAGCAGCACCAGCTGACCCTGGGACTAAGGACCTGAACCAGAAGGGAACAGTGGGTTAGGGGTTTCCTGATGGTCCGCTGTAAGTGTGCAGTGTGGAGCATGGGCTGGCAACATGGGCAGCAGAGACCAGACAGTGGGAAACAAGACCTTGTGGTCAACCCCAGTGAGGAATGAGACCCAGTCCAACATCAGACATGCCTTCCCTGACTTATCCCAGTGGCAACAATCAACTTCCAGGTCCTCAAAGTCTAGCTGCCTCCACAGGGCAAAGCCACAACAGTCTCAAGCCAGAGGAGTCTGGCTTCAGGTCCCTGGACTCCCACTGCAGATGCAGCCAGTGCCACCTCTGGTCCTCCCTTGTAGAAGGCTCCTCAGCCCCCCTAACTAGCTGGGCTTCTTTGGAGGTCTGCCCCACCATCACAGCATTGCCAAGAGGTCCACAATACAGTTACAAGGTTAACAGAAGCAGCCCAAGAGAGCTGCTGAAGTCCTGCAGATGTGGCCTCCAACACAAGAAGCATGCAGGCAGATGAGAGCATATGCTGTGCTTCACATCACCAGATCCCAGCAGGAACAGACAACTTTGCCTTTTGAGTTTCTCTTCCACAGATGCATCAGGTCATGCCCAAGAAAGAGGCTGCCAGGCAGCAAACGGGAAACGGGATCCTGACCAGGATTATGAGGTCCCCATGGACAAATAGACTTGTCTTTAGGAAAACAAGTCAGCTGAGCAGCTGCAAATCCCACAAGTGACAATTGAGAAAAAAGGAAACAACCAAAGAGGAGCAAGATCAAGCCTGTCTGGGCATTCTCATGTTGAAGAGTATCTGGATGCTCCCAATCAAGGGTGGTCCATGCCCTGCAGCAATAGGATGTCCCCCAGGGTCCAGCTTGGGGGATAATCAAGGAGCCCTCAGCCAGCTACCCATATCACCATGCCCTCCCCAGATTGCATGTGCCATGGTTGCCCAGAGAGAAGGAGAGGGGAGAAGCACTAACTCTCAATCCCAACAGCAGAGAGGGATTTGATCCCTGCAAATGGGGAGCTCACCCATGGCTCTCATCCAGACCTGCGCTCCCAGATAAGCTGCCAGCCGAGGTAGATAGCACGGACACAGGATGGGTGGAGAACACTACAGCCCCACAGCAAACCCGTAGTTTCGATGAGGTGGACAAGGAGAGGCAGCGCCTGCCTGTGCCAGGGTGAGGAGAATGGCTGCCTGCTTGCCTGTGAGGTCAGGGCCAGGAGAAAGCTGGGCCCCTTTGTCCCTCAAGAAAGCCAAGGTCTGGGCTGGAAGTGGCTTATTTACCTGGTGTGCATTTCCTAAGACCCATGGGCATGGGTGAGGGGAAAGCAGCAACACCAGGGTCCTCTCCACCGGTGCCAGGATACATGTGGGGAATTTGGTCCCGCTGAATGGGTGTCACACAACCTAAGCCACTGGTCCTCATGGCACACGTCACAGCCACATGTCCTCTGTCTCCACCACTGCCGCAGGAGCCTGGAGCCCAAACATGAGAAACATGTGGTCCTGCTACTTGGGCTTAGGGCTCCTGGTAGCAGGACCAACCATGGCTGGGATGAGCCTCAAAGGGGAAGGATGCAGAGGAAAAGCCTCGTCAAAGGGCTGGCTGTAGACCTAGAGCAGCAAGTATGGCAAGGAATAGTAAAGGAGGGAACTGGGGATTGCTGTAACACCAGCCCAGGGGTTACAACTCCAGGGGTTAGAGCTCCAGGGTGGATGGAGCCAGGCAGCATTGGAGAGTATGAGCTCTGTGCCATGAAGGTGTGACACAGACTGTGCAGGGTCTCAGCAGCAGACACCTAAGCATTCTATCAACACAGGGATTATCAAGAGCTAAACACTCATGATCAAACGTCTCTGACCTCAGCTTTGTCAAGAAGTAAAAGCAGGATGCAAGAAGGGAAAAAAAGGGACAACCACAAAGATCAGAGCAGGAGGACACGAGGTGTTGAAGCAGAACATCAACAGCCATGGGTGACACTAAGGAGTAAGGCAGGGATGCAGATACTGGTGGCACGGCCTCCCCTGCAGCCTGCCCGCCCTCTACCTGACATGGCAGATGTTTTGGAGGAGGTCCTTACTGCCAGCACTCCTCGAGGCCCGGGCCATGTAACTGTGCCATTCACTGGAGCAGAGGCTAGTCACTTCCTGGTGCAGGCACTGGGGAGCAGGGCACCGGTGAGAAGGTCCTCTCCGGGGAGGGGCTGCTGGCTGCAGGCACACAAGCCAGGCTGCAGGTGTTTGCTTTCTATTCTCCCAGTGTGCCGATAACCACCCGTCCTCAGCCGAGGCTCCAGCTCACCATGCTCAAAGTCAGGAGATACTTGATCGCGTAAGTGGATTTTTGACTTATTTAAGTAAAATACTACTTCGTTAAGTAAAATTCTATTTCCATCCTACCTGCAGGTCATGTCCTTGTAGGTTCCTCTGTGCTGGGAAATGGTTGGAGATTGAAGCAATGGTGGCAATGGGCAGAGGAGTGCTTCTGCTCTACATAAATGCTGGGAGGTCTGGGTTGATGGGGCTTTCTCTTCTCATTAAGCTCCAAGGACAGCACTGCTCCCCCCTGCATTTCTATGCAGGAAAATAGCATAGAATCATAGAATGGTTTGCATTGGAAGGGACCTTAAAGCTTAACCATTTCCATCCCCCTGCCACGGGCAGGGACACCTTCCACTAGAGCAGGTTGCTCCAAGCCCCTGTGTCCAACCTGGCCTTGAACATTGCCAGGGATGGGGCAGCCACAGCTTCTCTGGGCACCCTGTGCCAGTGCCTCAGCACCCTCACAGGGAAGAGCTTCTTCCTAATCTAAATCTCCCCTCTATTAGTTTAAAGCCATTCCCCCTTGTGTCTTTTGTAAGGCCTGATACCACAGAGGAAGAATAATGCAAAGACCTTGGAGGGCAAGTAGGATGCTGATCCCTCCTGCCTTGGGTCAGGTGAGGGCTCACCACTCTCAGCTCTGCACACTCACCTGCAGAGCAGGTGAGGTCAACCAGTGAATGCATCTTAGGGCAAGGTACTCTCTTCCACAGCCCCTTTTTTGGACAGGATGGATGAGGAGCAGAGAAGGGGAAGGCTTGACTTCATGTCCTTGTGCTGGGTTTTTGCATTTCAGGGCAGGACAGCCTTTCCACACACCACATCAGCAACCACAGCTGGAGCAGGTGGCAATCACCTCCAACAGCAGGCTTTGGAGAGCAGGGAAAACAAAGATTCGCTGTCTTTGTTTATAAAGATACGGTGCCAATATTTCCAGGCCAGACAGGGCAGGGGAAATGCAAGCGGTGCCTGTTCCTGCAGCTGAAGAGGGAGCTGAGGCTGCTCTGATGGGGCGTCCCTGGGCAGCCAAGGCACTTAGAGGTTATCGCTGTTTGCCTTGCAGTGCGATACTCGTGTCACAGCTGGAAATTTCCACTAGACTACACCGCCCTAGCGCAGCTCTGAGGTGCACTGGTTATCACTGCTTCTGCCACCCATGGAAACATCACCTCACCTTAAAAAACAATAAAATTAAAAAGCCTCAAGGCGTCATCTCTGCCTCACATTTGTCCTACCTACTAACAGTCTGCAATGTCTGCTTCCTTGCAGGAAGTTGAAAGCAATATACAGGTGCCAGGCAGGTGGACTCTGGGTCTTCTTCAGCCTCCTTATCCTCCTCTTGGTCATGCTTCAAGCTGCAGAGAAGCTGCAGCCTAGCAGGTAGGTTGCAAGCAGGATTGCGAACCTGCAACTCATCCTACAGCCTTTCACTGACCATTGACATGGGCTCAAAACTGCCCTCCTGAAAAACACCCTGTCTTCTTTAAAAACAGTGTTTCTTTAGGCAGGAGGGGAAAATCTGTGATTCTATGAGTCTCTTCTTGCACTCAAGGCAACCTCCCAGGGCAGTGCTCAGGTCCTACACCCAGCAGCAGTAACCACCCACCCCAAGAAAGATGGGGGAACATGGTCTGGGCTGCCTGCAGGGGGTTCACTGGGCTGCAGAGGAGCTGCCCTCTTTCCATCCTTTGCATCTCAGACTCCTGTCCTCCCTCTTGCAGAAGCTGCCGGTGCGAGCTGGAGCGGGCCCTGCAGCAGACCACAGACCATGGCCAGAAGCGGCTGAGTGATGCCCTCCAGACCCCCGACCTGCTGTGGGAGGACAGTTCCCTGTCCTGGCAAAGGAAGCCCATGCCAGACACTGCTTCAAGTGAGGGTACACAGGACACTTCTCAGATGCAACCATACCTCAGCCAGGAGACCCCGCTGGAAACCAGCCCAGGCAGCCGAGAGGAGCGCTGGACTTCACCACCTGTGGAGAGCAGCAAGAAGGTGAAAGCCCATCTTTCACTCACGAGGCTGAAATCCCAGCTTCCTGGCCTGAGAAAAGCAACCAGAAAGGGTCCTTCTCCAAGTCTTCCTGGAAGAACCTCCACAGTTTTGGGAGGTGCTGGTGCTGTCACCAGCAAGTTTGTAATCTTTGCAAACAGGATGACCACAGAGGAGCACAGGAGAATGTCACCACCAGGAATGACACAGGTAGTGGTACAGAGCCAGCCTCAACCTCAAGCCATAAGTTCCCCCCACAACCAGTGGGGCAGCTCACTTAAATACGCCATACCAAATCCAGCTCAACCTCCACAGGCAGAGGACTTGCACAAGACACACACGGAGAGGGGATTATTCCCAAGCCAGACAGAAGTCCCTAAGGTTGAGGAGGTGACGCGTGGAGACCAGTGGGGCAGAAGAGTCTCCTCTCAAGGGGAGAGGTGTCAGCCCAAGACCGACATTGTTTTCCTGAAGGTCCACAAGAGCGCCAGCAGCACCGTCATGAACATCCTCTTCCGCTTTGGTGAGATGCACAACCTCACCTTTGCTTTCCCCACTGGAGGGGGCAACCAGCTCTTCTACCCGCGCCACTTCTTGGCCGGCTTCGTGCAGGGCTTCTCCCCCTGGAGCCCTCAGCGGTTCAACATCCTCTGCCACCACATGCGGTTCCTGCAGCCAGAGGTATGGGCACAGCCGCGAACCCTTGGGAGGGAGGAATGGGGAAGGGAGAGGGAAGCTGGTGGGGAGCAAGGTAGGACACCCATAGAGCATGTTAACTTTTCAGTGATGAAGCTAAAGAGAGACAGGATTGTACCTTGCATGTTATGGGCGTCTCTGGAGAGCTTCTGTAAACAGGTCTGATGAATCATTGTGCTGTGGCCTGGGACAAGGCAGGAGATAGCAACTATAGCAGTCAGCAACTATCATCTCGTTCTTGTCTGGTGGGCCCTTGGAGATGTCTTGCTCCCTGGACAGGCCCAGGGGGTACCAGCTGCAAAAGGACATCAACTCGGGTCATCTGTGCCCAACATCTACCCTTCTGGATGCCACTTGAGGACATGCAGGTCTGGGGAAAGGTAAGGAGTTAGAACATAACTCAAGTCCAGGCAGGCCACCCAGCTGTGGCAGCACATACTGGGGAGCTCTGGTCACTACACTCCCTGTGTACCTCTTCTGGGGCTCCCCACAACTGGCACAAACACTCCTTTGGTGAGCTGCACCCAGCACCCCTCTTCTCCAACCCCAGAAAGCGTTTCTGCTTTCAGAGCACAGGACTGTGAGCGAGCACGTCCCTTCTCCCCACCCCATCTCTAAAACCTCCTTTTTCTCCTCTGCAGGTGCAGAAAGTGGTGTCCAGCTCAGCTGTCTACTTCTCCATCCTGAGGAACCCTGTGCAGCTCATGGAGTCCTCCTTTGTGTACTACAAGAGCACATCAGCTTTCTCCCGTGCCCACAGCCTGGAGGAGTTCTTCCGCCAGCCCTACCATTTCTACAACCCCACAAACAGTGACAGCCACTATGCCAAGAACCTCATGACGTTCGACTTTGGCTTCAACCCCGACGGAGAGGTCTCTGCTGAGCGGGTGCAACTCATGCTGAAGGCCATTGAGGCATCCTTTGACTTGCTCCTCATCTCTGAGTACTTTGATGAGTCCATGGTGCTGCTGAAGGAGATGTTGTGCTGGGACCTAGACAGTGTTGTCTCCTTCCCACTCAACATCAGGGACAGCAGCACCAAGTCACCCCTGTCAGACACCATTGTGGAGAAGATAAAGGACTGGAACAGGCTGGACTGGGAAATCTACATCTACTTCAACAGGACCTTCTGGGAAAGGATTGACAGGGACATTGGCAGGGAACGCATGCAGCAGGAAGTAAAGGCGCTTCAGGAGAGGCAGGCAGAGCTGGCGAGGACCTGCCTGCAAGGGACAGGTAGCGTGGCCCCAAAGGACATCAAAGACTCTTCCCTGCAGCCACTGCAACACGGCAATGCAAAGATCTTGGGCTATAACCTCAAGCAGGGCTTGGATAAGAACATGGAACACACGTGCCGGCGGCTGGTGACCCCAGAGCTGCAGTACAGCAGCATCCTTTTCAAGAAGCAGTTTGCCTAGAAGCAGCCCCAGACCCACCAGCCCAGTCCCTCCCAGCAGGACAATGCCCTGCGGCACAAGCTGGAGGGCACCCAAAACTGAGCCTCCTTGTCCCCCTCCAGGCATCGTACTCCAGCTGCCTTTGCTAAGGAGAGTGAGGTGCTTAACCACCAAAGCCCCTGCTCACCTCTGTCCGTGCAACACTGCACTTGGGTGCTGCTGGTGCAGAGCAGGACGGGCTGCAACAGGGCGTCTCAGATTCAACATAACACGACTCTTCCAAGGTAGGTCCTCAGCAAACAGGGCAAACCCCTGACTGGCAGCTGAACCCTTGGAGGAGGTGGTCAGGGTGTCACGCTGCATAGCAGTCACTCCAGCAGAGAGGAGCAGAACCAGGAGGGCAACCCAAGTCTTCAGCCCCACGCTGGAGATCGCAGCAGGGCAGGACCAAGCTGTAAATCAGAGCTGCGGAGCTTGATTTACAGCTTGGGAACAAGTCTGTCTGTCCAGCTGCAGCTCTCCTCCACTGTGACTTAATGCTACTGTTGTGGAAAAGCAGTCTCTTAATTAAAAATAACAATGCCTGCCATTACTCCTATGAAGCTCCCCACAATTAGAAGTGCTTGCCCAGCAGACGATCTCCCCAGCAGCCCAAGAAACAGACCTCAAACATATGAAAATGTCCTGGGGAAAAAGAAGATAAGATTAAAAATCAGCATTTTTTCCCCTGGGTCTGATTCACTCTGCCTTCAGATGCTGCACTCCTACACTGCATTTATAGGTTCAGCATCCTACCCTGGAGCTGATGCCAACCCTGCATGTTACACTGCAAGTTAAATACCCCTGCATGTGGGAGACGTCTCATGAGCATCTCTGCAGCCTGACATCCTAACCCACTGCTTCGGAGCTGGCTGTAGGAATATTCTATGCTGTACCAAGGGCACAATACAAGAATGGGCTGTGGTGGGTTTGTCAGCCGTACTTTTCACATCCTACACTTACCCTCGAATCAAAAGCCGAGCCAGCAAATCAGTTTGGATAAACAGAAGCCCCATCTCAGGATCTTCAGCATGCTTCCCAAACCAGAAGAGGTTCAGAAAACATTGACAAGAGGATCTGAGCATCCTAGGCTCTTCCTTGGCCAGCATCAGAGCATCAAAGGTTTCAGTTTCCACCCAAAGGCGCTTTGTCTCCTGCTCACAGTTTAACCAGGATAAGAAACAGATCACACTCCCACTGCCCTTCCCCAGGAGGGACTGGTCAGTGCTGAGCATCCACCCCTGCACAGTGCAGGGAGATTGTTTTGAGGATGTTTGCCAAATGGTTTTTGGGGTGTTGTTTGTTCCATAAAGCTTCACCTCTGAGGCATGCCTGCAAAACACTGCGTTATGGTCCCTTCCTCATTTCTCCTGTTGGGACATGGTATGGTATCATGGGTTGCAGAGCTCCAGCTCTCCTTTGGGTTCCTCCTTGGCAGTCTGCAATTCACCCCAGAGGGCAATCCCACACACATACAAGGGAGATGGGCAGCCCAAAGTCAGCACAGCCAGTCTGTCCACCCCAAAACCCACTGAGGACCTAGCGGGGTTGCAGGGAGGAGAAGAGCTGACACCCAGGTATCAAACGTGCATCTGACACCTGATTTTAATCACGTGCCACTTCTCTATTTGCTGTTCGCACCTCAGTAAATAGAAGCAGATCTTCCCTGCTTGAGCGCCTGCTAAGGTGACCCAGGGCAGGGGCACTTGTAGAACCAAAAGCATCCCCAACCACACACACTCGCACGAAAAGCACAGATTGCCCCCCCAAAGCTGTGGCACATCAAGAATATTCCAACTCAGGAACCTGCTGCCCAGAGAGGTCCTGCAAAATGGGCTGTTGTCTGCAAAATGCAAGAGCTGGCCATTTTTGGCAGGGGTAGGGGAAACCTCGGGGCAGCAGCTCAGCATCCAGCCATACCCAGCAGCTGTGCTCCAGGGATCCTGCACATAGGATTGTCCCAGCCCCTGCTCTTGCCTGTGGAGAGAAGCCCAGATTTAGATTAGACATTAGGAAAAATTCTTCCCTGTGAGGGTGCTGAGGCGCTGGCACAGGGTGCCCAGAGAAGCTGTGGCTGCCCCATCCCTGGCAGTGTTCAAGGCCAGGTTGGACACAGGGGCCTCGAGCAACCTGGTCTAGTGGAAGGTGTCTTTGCCCATGGCAGAAGGTTGGAATTAGATGAGCTTTAAGGTCCCTTCCAGTCCAAACCATTCCATGATTCTATGATTCTCCGCAGTGCCTCAGATTTTCAGGTATCAGATGTGTTGATCATCCCCTGCAGAGCTCACAGGAGCAACATCACTCACCCAAGTGCCAATCACAACATTTATTTTTACTGTGATTTCCACAAACTGCAATTTCACCTTCAAGAATATTTCACGTGGATACAGAGAGGAGTCAGGGATGCACTTGCTCATCCACACCACCTGTATATGGGCTGCCTGGGTCTCGTTTTTAACCACAGACACTTTTTGCACTGTTTCTTGATGCCTTACAGCACACGAAACTCAAGGTAAGCACCATGTCCATAAAAAAGCAGCGTCTCCTCTGGCTAGTGAACTCCCTTGCCCTAGAGCATTTTTAATTTCTCCCTAAGAACTGCCAGGTTCAGCCTGTTCAAATCAAGGATCTCAGTTTAACTAAAAGAACATCAATTCTTGACCAGTATCTATTTAGTAACTTGAAAGATCAAGCCCACTTCCTCCTCATCCTAAGTTTCCAAGGTGGTTACTGGTTTACACTGTTTTTATGGTTATTTCAAGCACTGCATGATGCAATATAACATTAGAGTTGCTCAAGCCTACCCATAGAATTGTCCTGGCTTTCCGTAAGCTTCCTGGCAATACAAGACAACAAGCAATTTATGCAAAAGCATTAGGGGTTCTTTGTCCCCCACCAAGCTAGTGGTGCAGACTTGAAATATTCTGGGCTCTCCTGGGAGACTTTCAAGTTATTCCCAAAGGAGCTCAGGGATTCAAACATCCTGCAAGGCCAGCTTGGCCGATTCCTTTGTGATGCTTTCAAAGAAGTATCTCACCCTGAGGTAGGGACCAAACGGATGCTGGGTGGACGCTGGGTGGGATGAGAAACCTGCTCCCAGAACAGGGGCTGCCAGGACCTCCTTGGTCTCCATGCATGGCTCAGGCACAAGGCTTGGAGTTGCTCTTCTCCCCTTTCTTCTTCCGCTGTGGTTCGTCACCCTCCACGTGCGTCACCACTTTTGCCTTGGGTACCTTGTATTTACTCTTCTGTCTGTAAAGGAGGTTTTTCTGGAAGAGTCGTGGGATGTTGCCTTGGTATAGCAAGAGGGCAGCCAGCATCCCTGAAACAAGAGCATGGACCACTTTCGTGTGCTGCATCAAGCACCTTCACCCTCCCCACGGCTCAGCAGTGATTTTCAGGTCCTTCCCCACAGAAGTAACTCAGCAACACTAGAGTGCCCACTGACATCTGGAAGACCCTTGCTAAATTACTTGAAGAATTTAATCATTGTGTTCTTAATGTAACAAGCAAGGCTTGTTTTGACCAAAAAGAGCCATAAACCACACCAGCAGTCTTCCGTCTCAGCTCTCTACATTCAAAGCAACACTTACGCAGCTCCCTGTGGTCATCTGGAAGCTGTGGACAACCTCTACAGCATAGCTCAGCCTATTGTTGCCCTAAAACATCTTTGCTTCATTTTCCCCAAACTTCGGCTTTGCGGAGACTCTGCCTGTGTCCCAGGTAGAAATCAGATTCACAAAATGGATAGCAAACAGATGACTTGAATGGCAGCGAAGAAGGACAGAAAAGGACACTTGCCAATAGCAAGACCCAAGTTCAGTGCTTTGCCAGGAACACTTTGTGTTATGCCTTACACATTGATCCCTATCCCAGCCCCTGCTCCTTGGTACCTTGTGGGCAGATCTCACCTGCGAGGGGCCCCAGCCAGTAAACACGGATGTAGTCCCAAAAGCTGCTCCCTGAGCAGTGGAAGGTGGCAGCTGTGGCCAGGGCAGGGTTGAAGAAAGCCCCTGTGAATGGTCCAGCTGTGTGGGAAGAGAAGCAAGGCCAGCAGTCTCACTTGCATCCTTTGAAAGACTGACACATAGCTGGGCCAGGAGACCCATGGCATCTCCTGCCTGCCAGTAGCTACATCTCTTGAATCATGTAATAGCAGCACATGGGGAAATCCCACCCTTGTCCCCCCTGTCGCTTTGTGGGAAGAAGAGCTCAGTGCAGGACTAAGGGGTTGCATTAGGGGATGTTTGAGGAAAGTGATCCCAGTCTTGGGACAGGCTATGACTTCTCAAGTGCCAGCATTCCACCCACTGCCTAATGAATATTCCCCAAAATAAGTAGAAAACAAACATCTTGATAATCATTACCTCTAAAGAGGTAACAATGAAGATGCAAAAGGAAGCATTCCTCCACAGCAAATTAGGTATTTTTCTAAATGACTTGGAAAGGCAAGTGCTGCTCACCTGTGTAGCTCAGGAAGGTGACAGTCGCTGCCAGTGCAGGGACCTGGTACACTGGGTGACTCTGCCGCAACTTGAGAAGGACAAGGTGGAAAAGGAAAGAGCAGCTGCCTTCTGCAAAGGCAGCGTGGTGCAGAGAGGTGCGGATGGAGGAGCTGCACTCTGATGCTATCAGGTTCTGGATGAGGTGGAATTGCGTCATCTCCCAGGACCAGTAGAGCTTGGTGACAGCCCAGCCCATGCCCATGCCTGCACCCTGGGCCAGCAGCTTGGTAGCAGTTGCTGGAAGGCTGGACTGGAGAAGCAGGAACTCCTGAAGAGAGATGGTTGGGTTGGCGGATGCTCCATCAAAAGATGCGCCATGAACCGCAAAGAGGAGGAAGAGCAACGTCAGAACCACATCTGGACCAAAGCCACCACCCCACGGGCCGATTTCCACCAGCATCCTCAGCTCAAGGCTGCTCATGCACAGCTGTAACGAGCCAGCAAGTTCTCTGGCAAGGCAGCTGTATGCTCCAGGAG